AGCGGTGCCCAGCGACAGGACAAGGGGCAACGGGCACAAACTGAAGCTGAGGAAGTTCCAGCTGAACATGAGGAAGAACTTCTTCACTTTGAGGGTGATGGAGCACTGGAACAGGCTGCCCAGAAGGATTATGGATCCTCCTTCTCTGGAGGTATTCAAAACCTGCCTGGACAAGGTCCTCTGCAGCCTGCTGTAGGTGACCCTGCTTTGGCAGGGGGTTTGCACTAGATGACCCACAGAGGGCCCTTCCAAGCCCGAACATTCTGTGATTCTGTGACAGAGAAGGTAACAGGAACTGGGATGGTTTCTAGGTCTAATGCCATTTTACTTTTTTTCCTTTTTTTTTTTCACTTCTTGTTGAGATCTGACCCGGAGACACTCGGTTATCCCGCACTGCCTTGCTGAATCTCTCAGACTCTCAGGTTGGCACTCAAAATTACATTTTCCTACAAACCACACAGCGACAGTCAGGAAACAGTAATAGTGACTTATACTCTATCAGAAGTTTCAAGACTCCTCACACAATTTTTCAAAGGATTGTGAGTGTCAAGGGAACATTTGCAGACAGTGATGGTCAGACACGCATTTACACTTAGGGAAAAAAAGGTGCAAAATTCCCTAGAAATCTGGAATTATTAGCTGCTGAAAGTCAATATTCTTGGTGCTTTGTCAGACACTGTCTCAAACCCAAGATCAAAAAAGATAAAACACTCTGAAAGGAGAGGAAATCCTAATCAGAACACTTTTGTCTTACTGCCTTACTGTCCCTTGTAAGAATTATTATTCATTGCAACCAACACAGGTTAGCATGCGAGCATCTCACAAGCTGGGTGAGTCTTCAGAAGACATTAGAAGAATCCTCACAGATGACTGTGATGCGTTTACGCGATGGCATTTGTATGAAACTCCTAGGGAAGACAGATCACCAAGTAGTGATGATTTCAATTCGACAATGCGTGCTACGTGAGCAAAACACACCACAACATCAATTTACAGCAGGATACACAGAGCCAAATGACATTTATTACAAAAGGCTATGACATTATATGACAGGATGCTAAAATTGCTGTATGAAACAGACACCTACTTCTGCCAAGGTTATGACGGACCTTTAACAAAAGGCCACTGTATAGATCAGGGTTCCAAAATCTTTCTATGTACTCGGGAAATGCAAGAATACCAGACAGACGAAGTCATCTGTGTTTAAACTCAAATAAAAAACTGTACCCAGAAGTACTGAAAAGTCCAAATGCAGAGTTATTCAGTGGTACTGAATCACATTGCCACATAAACTCTACAGCAAATTAAAATTAAAGATGTCTGTAGAATTTGGTATGGCAAGAATCACACCCCACCCACTTTTCTGTTTGGTAAATAAAAAGGTATATGTACTTCATCAAGCATTATGTCGACAACACCTCTAAGAAATCTGCATTTCTTGTTTCAGTTCACGCATCGAAAAGATACCATCTCTGGCTCAGGAACAGCACGCAACACAAATTACTGCACATGCTTCTGGGAAGCCCAACTCAAAGCTCATCCTTTTAAACTTCTAAACTTTTAAATCCCTCCCTAGTCTTTTGTCACTGCCCTCCAATGAAGTCAAGACACAAAACTACATGGGTGCTTTCTCCGATTCAGATTTTCTAATTTTCTTATGTTCCTTGATAACATTTTCCGGAGTCCTCTAGTTTGCCTTTACATTATACATAAAAAAAGCTATCATGAGGAAGTTGCTTTGTGCCATCTTTTAAAATAAAGCTCTCCTAAATTGGATGATTCATGGGAAATTCTTTTTCCACTTCCAGCAGATTTCTAGTGAAATGGCTAGTGTTAGTTCCAATTAATTTTTAAAATTACAAAAACAAAACACAGAAGTCACACATGCTTTGTAGCCAAGCTGTATTGGACAGGGAAACCATGCTGCAAACCTTCACGCCTCCCTAACGTCAGGGCAAGCTTGCAGTGGGTGAGTTTCCCCTCACAACAGGCAACAGCCTCAGCCCTACTCAGAGACTACAGATGTGCTGGGGTATCACAGGGTTAGTAAGGGATAAATGTTGCTAGAAGATATAGCCTTAGAACAGACCTTTTGAACTCGCTGGACAAGCAGACTATTATCAGATCTCAAAATCTCTCACAGACCATGATAAACTCATTCCCAGCTTCTTAGTGAAAATATTATACAGTCCAACATATAGTGGCAATCAGTAGTCTAATTACATAGCATTTACGTACAGTTTAGAGACCAGTATCTTGTCCATAGAGCATTACAGGGTATAAACCCTGCAACGTTTAGCTACATTACATGCTGAGAAGTCAAAGAGACTGTAATACTTTGCAGTGTTAGGCATAGTCTTAAGACTTCACAGGAACAGGCTTTCTGAGGATTCAAGTGTATCGATGCACAAACAAGCCTGAAGTACTCCAGACAGAAAGCATTTATAATTTATCACCAGCCTTCATTCTACAGAATACTTGAAGAATACACTTACCATAAAATGTCAGGTAACCAAACAGAGCAGACACAAAGTAAATCAGGAAACTCAGACCAATTCCTGTGACAGTTATGTTCTGCATTCTACTTTTGGATGGACTAAAACACAAAAAAACCCAGAAAATTAGTGTTACTTAACCTGTACGGTGGACTATTAAACGTAATGCAACCTACATTAAAAAACAGCAGCTTGCCTTTCATAGGAAAGCATCCTCTTAATTTATGGCCACAGAGTGTTTGCTGAGGTCTGTGCTGTCATTTACATTTAGAGTTTTTAAAAATATTTTTAATCTGGTAATCAAAGGGCACTTCTCCTGCAGACAACTAACATTGTCCCCATCTTGTAGGGAATTTGGACATACCAGAGTATTTTTTAAATCAAAATTCTGATTTACACAAAATTATATATATTCAGAGCCAGGAACCGAATTTGGGTCAAAAAACCACTGAATCAGACATGGCCAAATGCAGATTCAGTTACGGCAATAAAAATTAACTAGTAAGAACCTTAGCAAATGACCTTTTTTCTCCAGATTGTCCAGGCCAGGACAATGTACTGGCACTGATGATGGAACCATATTTGCTACTTTCCTGTCCTGTAAGAGAGGAAAAGCCACTACAGACTAAAACTGCACATTTCCCAAAAACATGAAAGCTACTTAGTTTGCATTGTGTGATGGCACTGACTTGAAAATTAGAATTATTCAAGATTAATTTAGGGAAAATATTTCAAAAATACTATCATTGTATTTTAATATTGCATGTGTTTCCACACGTTACCTTTGGAGCTCGCAATAGATGGGTAAGACTGAGGTATGGCAGAGAAAAGAGAAGGCCATAGTTGGTATTGCATAAGCACTCTAGAATAGAAGAAAAACATCTTGTAGTTGTTTCTTATTACAGATGGTTGGAAAAAAATCTGGATGAATTCAGTTCAAGTGTTGGAAGTTAGTGGAAATCTTTCCACATCAATGCTTTGAGATAAATCTCCACAACACAGAGTGGTGTCTCTGAATCATTCCACAAAAAAATGGACCTCTCCAACGAGTCTCTTCAAGTGGTGGTCACAGCTCACTGTTCCATAATCAGGAGAGGTCATGGTGGCTGTAAGCCAACAACCGAGAGATTCTTTTTTAGCTCTACTGAGGCCAAGCACTTATATAAAAAAAGTAGGATTGGCCCCAGCCAGCATATCATTCATGAAATTCGCCAAGAAGTTTTCTACATTCTAATATCCATTGCTACCTGTCAAACTACTGATTCCTTCCTCCTGACTTCACCATTGTCTTATTACTTCTTCACAAGAATCTGGAAACAACATCCAGAAAATGTACCATGCTTTGGCATCTGAAGCTTTAAGATAGTTATATAATTAAAGTTGCAGCCACACAATTAGTGGTATATTATTCCAAAAACTTGTAATAGAAGAGATGAATCACCTCGTATAGCTTACTTGAATTGCCAAGTCGAATAAGCTGAACTATAACAAACACTTTCATGCTGACATAGCCAGGTCCATCCTGGTAAAAATATGCCACTTTCTATTGATAAAATTAAAATGAAAAACGAAGTAGAGATGAGTCCCAAGATTCTTCAAAGCACAAAAGGCCAGACAAAAGGCCCAGAATCTCACAGTAGATGTTTCTGGTCAAAGCAAAATTTCTTCTTTGATCTACAGATAACATTTGTCTCCTGTCTGCATTGCCCAAACTTCTTTCCCCTCCCCCACCGCCTTTCTCTTTTTCTTGGGAAGGTGGGGGTGGATTTTGTTTTTTCAGACAAATGCAACCAACTGTGTCCCTCTCAAATTCCACTGCACTACAGGCCTATCCCAGATCTATTCTTCCCTTTTTCCCTTCCTCTTCAGCCCACAGAGAATTCTACACGATACTTCCTCTCCTGCAAGCCTTGATGGGTGGTGACATGATTTAAATGCCACATTAATTAACAAATACCCGAGCTGGCACCCAATGAAATGCACAAGATTGCATTAGGCCTGAAAAATTAGCTTCAGGTAAGGAAAAACTAAGGTTAGGTCCAGGCAGTTTCAGTTCTGCCTCACAAGGAACTAAACGTGTGCACACAGTCAAGTAGCACTGGCTCCCACCTGAGGGCATATTAAGCTGGCTTGATTCAACAGCATCATGAGCTGACAACCGCTGCATCTGTTCTACTTTACACTTTGGTCATATATGCAAAATGTTTTCATAAATGTGAACTTGGACAGCCAGCCTTCATATAAAACAGAAAGAGTGAGACTGGGTAACACTTGGCAGCAGGTATAGGAAATATTTCAGCAGCCTGTAACCAGTTTTACAGAAGAATAGCTTGCCCTGGATAGAGTTTAAGCCCCAACTCTTTAAAAACCACCATCCCCCTTTAAGTTTGCATACTGTTAATAGAGATTACCTCTTTTGAAAGATGAAAGAGCTTTGCTTTACAATCCCCAGTAGAATTTGAAATCTGTAAGACATACAAGCAAAAAAATGGCATAATGAAAGAATAAGCCCAAACCACAGACATGAAACTTTCTAGCTTCTGTGATGATTAAGAAAAGAAGGAATTTAAATTACAAGTAATTCTGAAAGTGTTAATGTAAAAAAAGCATTACAGTTACTAATAAAATTAGAAGTTCAAAACAGCATGCACTTTACCTGTAAAGTCTCTATGGCAGCATTTATAGGTAGAGGACAAGGGATCGACCATTTTTTTATCACAATCTGCAAAGACAGCATATTTAATGTATGAATGATACCCTAAAAATCAGTTTAAATTTATATATATGTAGCTAAAACATCAGACTGTTGGTGTACAAAGCAGGGAGCTACGCCCGTAGTAAAATAACAGGCTTGACTGGTAGGTAGTGAGGCCACAAGAAGGAGACTTGACAGAAAAACTTGTCAGTGCCATTCCGTCCAGTCGCTCACGACGCACAGCTGGCAGCCGTATGGTGTGCCTGTCTGGAGGTGGTGGACTGCAATGAGCTCTGACATTAACTGAAATACAACCAGCACTCCGCATCCACTCCCTCCGTGCTCCACACTAACTGCCTCCCGAACTTTCCCTAAGCAGACAAGCGCTTAACAGAGATAGAGCAGGGCCTAGGGCTAATCTTAAAAGGCAGAAACATATGGTTTGGACTAGAAAGCAAAGGAAAAACAATAAATGCAATTATTGTCCCAGAATGTCATTGGGGCTTTAGCTACACCCTGCTGGTTTAGGGACTGCCAAGTAACAGGGCTGAAAATCAAAGGGAAATTAAAGTAAGAAACGCTACCTCCTTTTTCAGGAGCCTAGTTTAACATGATAGTTGCATTGCTTTCCTCACCCTAATTAATTTCCTATTGTAGTTGCCTGGCTTTAGAGGTTATAATTCTTTTGAAGCCTAGAGCAAATAATTAAAAACTTCAATTAAAGACTCAGATTCACGAGAAGAATAACATGGAAGAGCACACTTCTCCTGGCTCAGAGAATTACTTTTTGCTTGCAGCCAAGTGGTGTTTCCCAGAGGGTAAGGATTAGATGCTCCCTCTTGTCACCAGCGCCAGGAGAAGCAGAGAAATGCTACCTCCGGACAAAACGCGGGGAAAGGAACTGCGGGTACATGGCATGCTGAGTCCAGTGTGGCAATGACACTCGCCTTCAGCTGCATGACTAAGAACAACCAACTCACAGCAACTCAAGGTATGGAACTAGGTGGTAGCTTGCTCAACGGCAGTCTGCAAACTTTGTGAAAAGGGATTATGAAAGGAAACCCTTCAGCCATGTTTCTAACACTGAACTGGCCCTGCTTCGTACCAGGAGATCTGTTCCCACCTGCTTATCGACCAGCTGAACTGCCTCCCTCTGCGTGATGTGACCGCGGCCGCACCTGAGGAAAGGTGCCAGAAGGGACAAGAACATGCTGGTAGCACATCTGGAAGTTCAACAGAGGAACGAGCAAGGGAGAAGGAGGAAAGGACCAAACACTAAAATGTAACTTGGGGCTGTATCGTACACGTGCGTGACTCTGTCACACGGGTCACCCCTGCCTCACCTCCTCCTTGCGCACCCAGCAGAAGCTGCGAGCCAAGCCCCAGACGCAGATTGGTGCTGCTGCTGCAGTGCCACCACGACCATGGATGCATGGTTTTGCTATCTCCCCAGGAAGCCCAAGCTGCTCGGCGACCTGAAGACATTGCTGAGGCTGAGCGAGAAGGCAAATACTCTTTTCAAGGAGATTTTTGTGTATTTAAAATCACCCAGATAGGGGAGATAAAGGAGAGGCTTTGACAGCGCCAGAGTAGAAGGCTATGTGGGAGCTCTGGCTAAGGCTGGCACAGGCTTCCTGAGCAATGAGGAGGGGCACGGAGCTGAAGGGCAAGCTTTGGGGAAAGTGAAGTCTGCCTGGCAGCGGTGAGGGCAAGGCTTCCTGCAAGCTAAAGAGCAAAGATATATATATAAACGTTGCGGAGGGAGGGCAAGGCAAGCCAAACCTAAAAAGCTGAAGAATGTTTTTCTAAAATGAAATTAATACAGATTAAGAACTGAACGAAATGGAAATAAAATGAGACAAAATAAAATGCACTAGGTGCAGTTAAAACCAGTAATTATATTTGCCCACCTGCTTAATTACTCAAATCTGTTTGGGTTTCCAGTTGTAGCCTACTCCACATTTCTAATGAGGTCCCCTCCAACAGGAAGAGATTTTTAAATTGGCAGCACAGCCGTGTTAGCTGAGCAGTCATGCTGGCAGCACAATCTTCCTCTGGAACTTTAAGCCTATTTCATATAAACATCGTCTTCTGAGTGTAACAAACATTTGGGTTTAAGTCAAAAAAACCCTAAAACCTAAAGAGAGGTTCTAGTGGAAATAGGGTATTCTAAACCCACACCAAAAACACTGCTAAACAATGAAGTTAGAGGCTCAAAATGTTCTAATATTCTCAGCGAGGTTGCTTTTTCGTATCCTGTGGAGGGAAAACAGGCATCACTTTACTCCAGCAGTACTGACAACACTCAGCAAAGCGGGGCTCTCTGCGCATAACATCATTCGTTACACATGGCAGGTTCCCAATCCGCATCACATTTTGTTCTGGGAACACAAACAAGAAATTTGGAAAAATACCATCAGGAATCATTAACACCTTTGCTGAACAAGCCACCAATAGGGCTGTCTCCACAAAAAAAGAAAAAAATTCTGTCTTTACTCTTCACCCGTATTCAATATAGCAAGAGGGGAGGCAATAAAAAAAAAAAAAATCAACGATCACATTTAATTTCTTTTCACTCAGGATTCAAGTCAGGAAAGTATTCAACAATCAGAAACAGAAGTGCTCAGGACCTCACAGAATCTGGCTTCGAATTAATAGTTACATACATTTGTTCTTCTCCCACATCAGCTCATCTTAGTGTTTTCACTGTTTGCCAAGTGAAGACTATAACCAATATCTTAACTTTAAAGGAAATGACACCGAAGCGCCGAGAGGAGATAAGAGACCTGCCGAAGGCCCACAGCAGAGCACCGAGAACGAAGCGCAGCCTCCAGACCTTCTGCCCAGCACACTCACTCGGTCACGAGGAACAAGACATATGCTGCCTATTGTACCCATCTTTTCTGCAGGCTGGATTAAAACTGCGGCTTGCTGGTAAAAAGCTGAACAGATGGTATGCACTTGAAAATGCACAGAATTATCGTATATGCAAAATATAATTGTATTGCTTCCATATGACTAACACAGTTTTCTTCTGGAACAAATTAAAACATATCTGCCATACAGAAATTAACATTGTGCAAACTAAAACACCATTTCAACAGCACATATCATCCACTTCAAAGCAATTAGATAGGAAAACTAAACCCCAGTTATTGCCTTTGCATTTCAGCGCCTAAAGAAGTCAGAGAAAATATCCTGTGAAGAGTATTAGTTTTCTCTAAATATCCGTAACGGCTTTTAAAAATTTGGAACTCAATTAGATTTACTGTGGCTGCTTCTTTGTCACTTAACAACGAGAAGTAAGCATGCAAATTTAACCATTTCATAAGAAATCCAATAGCCTGTGTACTCCTCCATTAGTACTTTCTACCTCCATTTTTTGACAGAGAACCAAAACTAAACCCTAGCTTAACTCATCTCACTTGACCTGTGTGCATGTAAGTCTTGCTTACACACTTGCCTTTTCTAAGCCCAAAATCGTTTTCAAATGCATCCACCCATTACAACAGCTTTCCTCACAGATGCATACACATTCCCACTGAAATCCAGGAGCTGAACTTGTTTTAAAACTCTTGCAACTAGCTTCAGCCAAAGACCTATTTCAGCATTTTTGTTCTCGCTTTTTCCTCCCCCCCCCCCGCTTTTTTTTCAGATAAATTTTAGAAGAAAGGTCAAAAGTTAAGGTAATTTATAAATACTACACATGAATTTCCATTAGCTCTGGAGAGGCTGTAACTGCTCCTCGATGCTCAGCGTAGGAAGAATACTTCCCAAGGTCCTACAAACACTGCAATTCTCCAGGGATACCCTAGGGAGATGTTTTGACAGCTTTGAAGTTTGGTTTTATCACATGGTTTAGTTCCTAATGGATTGCCTTGGTCTCCTGGATGGCATGTTTGTTCAACTTGCCTTCAACTCTGTTTATCCCTTTGTAAAACAGGTATTAAATGCAAGTCAATGCAAGCCAGAATGACAGGGGAGAGGGGGAACGTCCTTCCAGGCTCCCAAATAAGATTCTTGTTTCCATACCTAGATGACAGAGTGCGAGTTGCTTCCTTGTACTACTTACTACACATGTGCATTAACATACTTTTTCCCTGTAAAAAGAAAAATAGTGTAACTTAAAGGCACATTTTCCCTCTTAGATCTGCCTAGCAGGTCTCACTTTTGATATTTGGAAACATGTACCTCACAGGGGCCTTGAGAGGGTGAATATCAGGGTCAAAAACCCCCAGATGGCTCAGAGAAAAGAACTTTTCCTTTCAGCGGGAAAGAAGAATAAGGTCATTGACGTATTAATGAATCTTGTAAACTGCCTTAATGAAGTTCTAGTTTTCTTTGCCTTTTTTTGAACTCTGTCACTCTATTATACATGTAAATTGAATTTATTTGGAGTATATTAAATTTTCTTTTGCACCAGTTGCAGAAAGTAATAGTTAGAAGCTAAGAAAACAGAATTCCATTCCGTTACTAGTAGGGAAACCAAAGTATACATGCCAGCTGCCTTCACTGCAAGGTCAGCAAAACAAAAATATTGTCACATTTACCAGTCCAAAATATAATTATTTGAAATCTCTTCCCATGCTTGAAAGTTCATATACATTTCCAAGCCTCAGCAAAGCACATCTAATCCGTCCAAGCAAGCACATACTGAATTTAAGGAAAACTCTACATTTCACACAAAACTTTAGGGGGGGAGGGGAAGACAATTAATTTCAAAATAGGCTTATGAAAACATTCAAGCAACAAGAAAAAAAATAGATAAGCTGCGCAGAGATTTTTAACTTACCACAAGAGCAAAGTACACCATAAAGAAAAATGATAAACTACTTGTGTAGCCAAGAAAGCCTGTAAAATAACAGTAAAAATAAAAGGGAATTTATAAGGAAAGTGATCCTAATGTACAGCTAAAGCTTTACATTTTAGGCATGTTTTCTATTACAGCGCTTGGTATCTGGGGCTTAGGACTTCGAATAACAACATTCCAACTGCCTGTCACAGATCATTTATGTAGTTTTGTAGGGCAGAATTAGAACTGGCTTACCACTAATGGCATGCTGTAAGTAAATGCAGCTCTTTAATGTTCTGCTGTAAAGATTTTATTTTAGTATTGCAGACAAAATACTACTGCAACCCAAGTAATAGGTTAACTAGGCAGGGCTGGAAGGCAGAACACACTACAACCACCTAAGTAATCCTCACCATCACCAGTCCCCTGCCAGCTAAAATAAATAAATAACCCATTAAGGTTTTAAAGTCTTCAACTGTAATTGCTACTAAAGTAGAATAATATTCGCTTCTCTCCTTTAATTACTCACCAATTTTAGGAAGAAGCGCAAGGGGAAAAACAATGCAGACTGAAGTAATCAGTAGCAGCAGTCTCCCATCGAGGTACCAAGACCTGTTGGAAAACGTATTTATGACCAACACAAAGCTCAAGATTCCTAAAAATTATGTTCTACTTTAAAACTGCGATCTTAGACATAATAACCACGAGGACAAGAAAAATAAATGATCTCCAGTCTCACGTGCTATTTACATGAATTTGTATTCCTAGTTTCTATACTGTGACGCAAAATAGTTCCCAGCTAGCGAGGCAGCAGAGCACCATCCCATAATGAACCAGCATCGCAGGCAACATTCCCCAGGCAAGTGTCTGCATGGATCAAGGGTCCGATGCGTGTAAAGTTACTTCTCAGCAGCACAATATGCAAATCACTGCTTTTATTCAAAGCAATGACCAGAGGACAAGGGTATTTCATACCCTACAGTAGATTTCCAATAGAAGCACTTACGTAGCATTCTACACATATCTTGAACTGGATTACACTGAGTTGCATATTTACGTAACTGGAAGAAACAGCAACATTAACTCCCACTTATTGCTGAACCTCCCTGCCAATTTATTACTCCTACACGACCTCCGTCCCTCACCGTTTCCAAGGGATGTGAAACAGAAAGCTAAGCCACCCAACCTACTCGATTGGAAATTCAGTGAGGTTTTCTAAAGACAACAACTCTCTCTTCTGCCCACGTTTCATTACACCTATCATCACAGGGTTCAAATAATAAAAGAAAACAACAAGTAAATCAAGGTTCAGTTAATTTGAAATTCTGTTTGCTGTCCAGAGGTGATGTAAGAAAGAAGAGGACTTTCTTATCTTTAACTTTGCACAAAGTGACCACCCATTCTTTGCACACATTCACACGAAAATTAACAGACAAAAGGGATGGAAATTGTGGTAATGAAATCTGCTACAATTGTTTATACATAAAACTATACATATTAAAAAAAGCCATTGTAGAGGCATACGAAGTCTTCATGCCTTTAAAGATCTATTCAAAGCATCAAAATCTCATCTCCAAACTAAGGAAAGCACAGATGTAGAAGTTGTTAGGAAACAGAAACATCTTGAGGGTGGCTCCCCATAACTTGCTAATAACCGTATCCTGTACTGATAAACATCTTGCACATCAGCCTCTGACTTTACTACCTATAAACACCCTGGCCTTTGACCTTCCAGTTTATTTAGTCCAGGATACGGTTAGCACCTAATAAACAGGCAGCACCTCAAGTTATCATAAGGAAAGCAGCATAACACCTGTGTTAAAAAAAAAGACAATATATTAACTACTGTCATACACTGGGGACAATCACTCCTGTCACTCATTTGAAAAAACACGTAAGGTAAACGAACAGAGAAATTTCAAGGTTAAGGGCATCTTCACCATACCAGAATCAAAGTAACCCTTAAGTAACAATGTCTATTTTAAAAATTACTCAAAATACATCATTCATCAAAACAATGTATTACTAGCCTAGGTCTGCTACTGCTACACTGAAAAAGCAACTTTTCAGTTGCTCAGCTCCCTGCTGTAGTATTCTTGATGTTGTTATCATTTAGCTTTCACTTTTTTTTAAACTTTTGCCTTCTTTCTAGGACAGTGGATGTTCAGATTAGGAGGCACAGTACCATAGCAGCAGGCAAACGTAGAACGAATGCTGCACCATGCGTACATGTGGGACCTCTGTTTCAAGCCTCCCGATTCTAAGCTGGCAGCAAATGCAGAGTTGCCATCGTAACTCCCAAGCTCAGCAGGCCAGAGAAAAATTATTTTGGTTACTTTGTGGTAAATGAAAAAACATTTGTGGTGGAGGGGGGAAAAAAAAGAGAGGAAAACTGCAATGAGGTGATAGAAAGGAGAAAAAATAATTTTATAAACTGTTGAATTTTGGAGTACCAATTCTTTTTTTAAAAGTATCTCAACAAACTGAAGAGTGGATCATTTACTGGTTATCAAAAAATGTGTTCATTTTTTCCTCAAAACACTGTTGTAGAAATACACTTATTTTCCAAAGGCAGAATAAGTGTTTTGATATTGCCTTTAAAATCAGTTTGATCTGCAAATTTAATCCTATATGATAAATGCGTTCCAAATATGAAATATGGAATATAAATCCTTGACTCTACTGAAAATGCTTTGGCATGCAGATGTTCCTCCTCCCTCCCCCGTATTTTAACCAAAAGCAGACATTTATAAATCGCTCCAATTTCATTCCTGAATGCAACAGGACAAGAGATTCAGATGTTCTAAATTAGGATCTTACTCTCAGTCCATATCAATTATATAACACACAAGCAAGACAACTTAATTGCATCAATCATATCCTCCTGACAGGGTCATTAAATGTTAACAGAGGGCTCACAAATTACAACTTTTTAACACAACCCGCATTTGAAACTCTGCTCGTGTCATCAAAACTATGCAGAATTCTTGTTGTGCAGACAGACTAAAACATCTCAACTCGCAATTAACAACTGTTTATATTGTATGTTTTTGGTTTTTAATAAAGACACAAAGATGTATTACACACTGGCTCCGAGACTTTCAAACGCAGGCAGACCTCCTAACCTTTATCTATAAACATAATTCAATGTGCAAAACATTCTTTATATGGCTTTCCCAAATGGATGACTTGGGATGGTTTATGCACATAAAATATTTTCACAGATAGTTTAACTGACATTTTTGATACATTCTAACTACAGTTGAAGATAAATTCTGCACCCAGATGAAAGCCTATCAGGTGCTAAAATGACTTAACAAAAGCAGAAGAGTTGTGTAACCCCATCTGGAAACAAGTGGCCCAGCTAAAGAAGTTTAAACAAACTAGTCAATATTTATACCCTTGCATAAATAAGTTGCTACTTAGACTTGATATTTGATTACCTATTTTTGTTGAACAATTTCCCACAATTTAAAAACTCTGTTAGTAAAAAACTACTCTTAACATCTGTGAGTAAATATACAGAAAGTGAAGATTATGAGCTACCATGGCAATCAATACAGCAAAATACAAGAAATATAGATATGGGCATACAGAGAAGCTGCGCACATGTACCTGGAATACTGCTTGACCACTGCACCTGAAACATTTGCTTGGGCAAAGAACAGAGGAGTCAAACATTTATCAGTGGCAGAGCTCCCAATAACAGAGGCAGAAACAGGATGAGACCCGGGCTGACAATCAGCTTACCACTTCAGCTGTGGTTAGTATTCCTACAGACAATTTCAGCTCTTTCCAAATGCAAAATTGAACTTCATCTCCACCTCGAACTGTAATTTCAGCTAAGGAAGAAGTACGGGTGGTGGCAGTGCTGACAGCGCACCAAGAATTACAACGGCTCAGATGATTTGTAGTAACCAGCTCAACCGCTGTAACCTGTGCGCTCACCAGTGTTTGCATCCAGAAGATCTGCACTTGAAAAACCAGCTAAAGCTGGTGGGAGTGTTATCAAACAGGCAGCTTAATAAATAAGTTGCTTATACTGCCTTTTTTAGACAGAACAATCCTCTGAGCAGTATGCACGCACGCAGGACCTCCAGATTCTACCTATTACGAGTTTTCAGAAGCTGTTTGTTTAAAAGTGTATCTTTGCTGGGAAAAGTTACTTTGCAGAAATAGAGCTCACAAAATTAAAAACAGTAGTAAGCGACATGCTAAATTTGGGGACAGACAGGCTGGAACACACATGCAGCAGATATAGTAGCAGGCTCAACGTCACTGTGTATGAAGAGTGGAGTTAAAAGTACGATCTTGAAAGAGAAGCTGATGACTATCACAGCTGGAAAAGATACATTAGATACAATCTAAGACACACTGTTACGAATGACAGCAGCACTGCAACAACTCGAACCAGGTATTTCAGTGCCGAAGCTGCAATGTTTGTCTTAGCACAGGCAGAGATTTCTCGCAATAGCTCTGCCAGAAATCTGAGGGACTCACTCCTTACACGCAGCTTTACAGCCCAACTGTGAAGGATAATTTCTTTACTGGGAGACAAGTTAAGGAATTATAAACCAAGTCTGGAAACCTGGCATTTTTCCCAAGACAAGCCCAATTACTGGAGCAAGACAACAAAACATTTAAATTTAAATGTCTGCCGGTTTTCGTACTGTGGTTTTGAAATGTGTGAAGCGACAACGTGACAGCAGCTTAAATGCTTCTCTTGCTCTCCCTCCTGTCCCCTCCTGCTTCCCCTTTTAAATTTTTACAGAAGGGGGATTTCTGTAGATGGAGTTTTGCCACTGACTTTAAGGTCGCCTGATGGGAAATTGCTGCGAGGACGGAGTCACGCTCCGCGTGTGTGCGTGCTGCAGAAGGCTTGCACATGCCAAACACATTTCATATTCCAAGAACTCCTGTAAATAACTGATTTTTTTAGCATGTGAGGTTGGAGAGAAGTGTCAGTACCCATCTCCTTCAGCAGCCCTGAGCCACTTTCTTCTTTCAAGACAAATACAGAGCGTATGAAGCCTTTTCCCTTACCCACTCTCGTCTCCACCGAGGAACCCCGCAACAGCACCAGGAAGTTCAGACTTCACAATTAAAAGATAAGATGACATAGCTGCGAACAGAAGCAGAACGGATTTAGCAAAGGAATACCAATACCCCTGGTTGTAACAATTCTCGTGGCTTAATCAGAGCGGTTACGACTGGAGCATCTCAGCTACACATTAGACACCACGGCACCAGAACCAGAATTTATTTTCTCATATACTTCCTTTAAAAACAGCTGCAAATCCCCCAGTATTGTACTGATGTTAGCTAACGCCTCCACAGAGACTGTTATGATGTGAGTCTCGAAACAAGCAAAACGTAATCCAAAGGACTAAAAGGCACAACAATATAAAATTCAGGCCTGCCTTTTGTACCTGGGAATACAGACCTACAGGCCAGAGATGGGCTATAAGGCCGCAGCACTTCTCCTTCCTCTTTACTCTCCGTAAGACATCGTTAATGACTGAAGTAAATAATAAGATTTGTGTCTATCAGTACAAGAGGGTTTTTTAAAGACTCAGTTTTTATTGTTGCTCAGCCGCTGTTGCACTAAATAAATCTACGAGAGAAATATAACGACAAGAATAGGACAGACGGGGTGGTGGAGCCCTCGGAGCTAAGAGGATGTCCAGTGACAGCTCTCCCCTTCGCATGCTAAACCCACCGCCAACCAGATCCCAGCAACAACAGAAAGTGCAAAACCGTACAGGGACTGCGAATCAGAAGAGAAATTGTTAGCTGCTCTTACAGGAGTGACGACTTGAAATTAAGCGTCTGTATTTCTCTTCAGAAGAAAGCGACGATGCATACACATAAATCCAAAGCTACTTCACTCCATCACTTTTCTCCTTTACTATATAAAATGATGAAAGGCATAACTAAGAGGGGGTTTTAAAATTACAACTTATCTGATACCTTCACATAGTGTTCATGTCACTTCTTGCTTTTAAATAAACAGCAAATATTTATACGAATCAAAAACCAGCACAGAATTACTCAGAAAAATCAAGCTTCAGAAACAGCTTCAACGAATATGAAAGCCTACAAGAAACTAATTTCCATCCTTTGGCAGCAAGTAATTTCAGTAACGTGCTGACAAAAGTTTAGTTACATTTAGAGCTTGAAAAAAATTCATCTGTTGTATTCAAATTTTACTGTTCTGTATTTACTAACTCTTTAGAATTTTACCGTGGCTGTATTTATTAATGCTCTAAAACATAAATGTTAAAAAGGTAAACCAGAAAATTTCCATACGCTGATTTTTGAATAATTTTGTGGGTTTTTTTTATAAAGGAATGTTATGAACCTTAAAAAAATGTGTGGACTCAGACACTGCTGTACTACAGCAGTTAACTGTAAATTTTGAAGAAAGGTAATGTGGTCTCTATAAAGAAAGCAAATTCTATTAATACTAAGTGACATCTACCTACCACAAGGTTAAATTAAAACCATTTGGTAGGTCACTGAATAAGGAAATATTCACTACTTCATCATTAAAAGCTCGTTTTTTTCCAATATTCAACTATATTTCCCTGTTGACATGTAGCCGTTGATTGTATCTGGTGAGGTATTTATCTGCTGTCCTGATTTTACGCTCCTGTTTGCATACAACAGAATGTAGGTTCAACTACAGAGATCCTTACACTACGCATATTTCTAAATCACCAGAATTTGTAAGTAAATTAATACAGTTTCTCATGCTAAGCTACAGGCAGATGCATATTTCAGCCTAAGCAAAGACAGATTTTTTAACGGGGGGGAGGATGAGGGGGAATCCTCTAAATTCTAGTTCAACTTTATTTATCTATTAGCCTTCTTTCTTGTATTATACAATACTTTATACACAAGCAAGTCAGAATTTTCATATATTTATGTCCTTCAGAAAGATTTTAAAATTAGTTCTTTTGCAGCCTCAGCTGCAGAAAGCTTCAAATTAATTTCCAGATCAGATTTCCTCCTAATATGCAATCTGTCACTCTTCCCTTGCATTCCTACTAGCCTCTGGCTAATCATTTGATCACTTATCCTTTGTTGTGTGCTTACTCTTTGTTTTTAAAAGAGGAGTCCTATTTCACTGAATTCCACTCCTAAGCAGGGAACCAATCATGCACCAAGAAACTTGCACATGCTAAACATTTGTATGCATCTTTCTTCCTTTCTCTGGGCATATGAGAAACAATCTCATGTAGCAGGATTCCCCCCCCGCCCCAGTTTATATTTCCTTTTGTTCCAGCAGAGAAAAAATAAATACTAAATAGTTTTATTTATATCCCGATGCTTAGGTAAGACAATGAATCTCATACATAAACCTGAGCAGGACACCCGTGCTAAACACAGTTTTAAAAGTCAAATCCTGCTTTTTCTTCACTTACAAACGCAGTTGTAACTCTGCTCACAAGCAGCAGCTCCTTGTAGCTTTACTCTGTGCGAAAGAAGTAAGAGACACTAACCACCGTATAACTCTCTGAAACTTACTACAAAGTGAGCAAAGACCATAGTTTGTTTTTTAAGAACTGAAACCAAAACAGCAAAGCATCTTGAAAAACGGCAAAGCAACTTGAAGAAAGGATCTCAAGTAGGAGTAAAGCAAGTAAAACGCGTAAGGTATGGCCGACCAAAAGTCACGTATTCTTTGATCCAAGTAAGAAATTGTACTTAACTTCCCTGACACCCACCACAACCAGACGCATGTCAAGTTATATTGTAAAAATTAAAGATCAGCGATCCTTGGCAGTCTTAACGTATCACGGAAGGCAGAGATTACACAGTCACAAGGCTACACTGTGACACAAGAGAGCTCAACAAAAAAAATACCTTGTGCTTTGATTTATTCCACTTTGAAATATTTACTTCCTCTGTCATTTTGAAAATAATTTTCATGTTTTAATGGCTAACTGTTAAGGTACCTTTTAACACGTACAAAAATAACAATAAATGTACATACATTTTTAGAAGTCAGGCACTCAAAAAAAATTAGCTAAAGTCAGAAGTAACATCCCCTTCATAGTTCACCCCCCTTGCATGCACGGTGTGAGACAGCAGAACTCACTGCTCTTGCAACCCAGTCTCATCCCCTACATTAAAAAAGAACGTTACGTTTTCCTCATGTCACCTTCTCTTTGCAACGTGGTGTGTCTGCCTTTAGCGCTCAGTGAGACAGGTTTCCGGCAGAACGAGTGGTGTACAGTGATGCAGTTTGAGGCTTTAGCAACACGCAGATGCAACAAGTGCTGACCTACAACTATGTGAGCAACCCCCACATAGTCACTTCCTAATTTTTAGGTCATAAATCTAGATATATTCTGTTATGTTTAAATATTATATTTAAATAATTTTCAGTATTATACATTTGCATATATTATGCTATATACAAATAATCTTCACCATGCACCAAGAGGTACTCAATGGAAAACTAAGCAGGTCCAATCGGCCTTGTCACAGAAATGCCATAAAACAGTATTCGGCAGAAAACAAAATTACATTACTCCTTTATTATTCAGTAGGCCTCCCACTGGGTTGAAAGCAGCAAGAAATTACATTCTTAAAATACATACCACTCTGCCGTGTGCTGAAAACTTGGTATTAGCTCTTTAACAGAGAAAAAAATATGTTCGTAAAATATAAAACAGGCCATTTGCTTTACACTTGCACTATTATTACCTGCAGTGCCACCATAAAGTATGACTCTATACATATACACACCACGCATACAATATTCAGCATGTCATTATTGTGCTGCACACTGAGCACATGTGCCCCTCCCTGAAAAAACATTAGCTGCTGGAAAAAAAGGAAGCCAAGGTTATGGTTCTTTAAAATAGTCCCCAAAAGATCTCTTCTGAGATAGCCCAGTGTTAAAATCGGATACGTGAGTGGCTTTTTGGTGACCAGAAAAGGAAGTGTAACTTTTCCTTATTATCCTACCCAAAAAAGATCAACCGCTGACACCCACAGCAATGATGCAAGAGAATATGTACATTAAACTTACGTGCAAACATGTATTTAATTCCTTCCTCAGAAAATGGTTGGTGATAAATCCCTTCAAATCATTTAACTGAAGGGACTGAATCTAACTCTTCTGGTTAGTTTTTCCTAACCTACTACTGTAGCGGTTCATATTAGAGCGCTATAAAGATGTCTGACATTATTAAGCACCGTGCAGAAATGGAACCAAGCTGCCCTCCAAGCCTCACACGGGAGGAGATGGGGGCTCGGGAAAACCAGGCTGTATGAACAGAGCCAGACCGGCTCCGCCGGGCCTTCTGGCAAACAAACACGGGGGGAGCACAGAGGGGTGCAGAGCTGGGAGTTGGGACGAGCAGACAGAGCAATCGTGATTCCCACCCGGGGGAACTCCAGGTAAGAGATTCCTCACAAATGCCTACAGATCATTAAGACAGATGAAAATGCTTCTCTCGTCCTCTAAAGAGTTCATTTCCCTATTTTTCCCCAAATACTGAAAAAAGATCAGAGGCTGAAGGACAGAAATAGCAGAATAAACACTACTGGTCGCTGCACAGTCCAGCCCAACCGAGCTGGATCTTCCATAGCAACCGCACGTGACAAACCCCTTTGGGCTTGTGTCTTCCCTTGCTGGTATGGAGACTGTTTAAAATTGAGTCTGTCCTAATCCAAACAACGTGACAAAGTTAAAAAGGAAAGCAGGGAAGGATTTCAAGAAAGAAAGTGAAACTAGAGAGGGTTCTGGGCACGCTCCCATTTTTCCTGTCAGAGAATCAGACTAGAACAGCAATATAGGATGTACTTCAGTATTGCATCAAGCTCCTCGTAATTCAAATTGTGGAAACACCAGGAATGGTACACAGATGCCACTGAAAACCATCAACTATTTTAGCCCTCGCATCATACGGCCTTAAGAGCATGCTCTTTTGTTTTCATTTTGCAATGAATCCCCCACACACTAGATTTCAGGAAGCCTCACAATTACTTGATGTGTTGCTCTTAATATTTTCTCTCAGTGGAAGCTTAAAAAACAAAAAAAATTTGTTGGGATCATGTTTGTTTTTAAATACAGATGTAGAACGGTGTGTATGAAAGGAGACGTAA